AGCTGGGTGCATGGGGGATCTTGAAAGTCATTTTTCCTTAGGCAAGTAAGCATTAGATTCATCTCATCAACGCACACAGCCCCTACTAATGATTAAAAAGAAATTACTCTGTTCCTTAGTTTTTTTCCCAGATACTTTGTCATTTAAGAATGGCTCGCGATAGTAATCGAACTTATAATACTCTAAGTTAGGAAAGTTCCTGGTGCCACGTTTGTATGGCAAAGATGTCGGTAAAGTAAGCTTCATCCGAAGCTGTCTAAGTCACCCGCCAAACTTAAAAAGCATAAAAAACTCAAAAAATTAAAATAATGTAAATAAAAATATCAATTTTTAAACTTAATTTTACCATTATTGAATAGCAAATTAAATATATAAATTAAATATGAGGTTACATATACAAATAAATTTAATAAAAACACTATTGCTTGCTACATTTGTGATAATCCTAGTTACTTTGAATAACGCTTTTTCGCCTGAGCGCCCCGTCAACCACGCCTCGCTTCTTTGCGTTACACCGACTATGAAGAAGAATGCTAAGTCCGAGGGAAAGTCACATCCTATGCGAGAGATTAGGATTCAAAAGTTATGTTTAAATATTTGTGTTGGCGAAAGTGGGGATCGATTAACACGAGCGGCTAAAGTGTTAGAACAACTAACGGGCCAAACACCAGTTTTCAGCAAAGCCCGATTGACAATTAGAACTTTTTCTATCCGCAGGAACGAGAAGATCGCTGTACATTGTACTGTGAGGGGAGCGAAGGCTGAAGGTTTACTTTATTATGATTTATTTTCCAGAAATACTTGAAAAGGGCCTTAAGGTTAAGGAGTTCGAGCTGCCCAAGTCGTGCTTTAGCAATATGGGGCATTTTGGCTTTGGCCTAGCCGAACACATCGATCTTGGGATAAAGTACGATCCTTCGATTGGGATTTATGGCATGGATTTCTATGTTGTTCTTGGGCGTCCCGGAATGAGAGTGGCCTACAGGTGATAACTTTTCTTCTATTATTTTTCAGACGTCGACGGAGAAGCAAAATTGGACACAAACACCATGTCACGCAAGAGGAGGCAATAAAATGGTTCCAGAGCAAGTTTGATGGTATTATCTTGAATAAATAGACATCTCAATAAAACCTCTTTATGGTATTGGACTTGTGATTTCTCTCCCATTTTGGTATTCCATTTCCTTTATGGCAATTTTGTTTTTTATATTAATTTTGATTCGTAATCCTTTTGCTCCGTTTCCAATATTTATCATTTCTTTTCAGCTATTTCAATTTATCACGATCCAGTCACATTTTCTCGCTAGCTTACTTTTTACCTCCT